GAGGAAAGGTCATCAATTTGAGGTTTGATTGTTACATTAAACTCATCAGCCCACCAACTGTCCACAGAGGTACATAGATGATCCTCAGATTCATGACCACAGACCATCCTTTGTGTGGGATCAATCAGCTAATTTGTCTAAAAGAGAAAGGATCAAGGGTTGGATTTACTAGGCTCATTTAAAGCTGTAGATATACTAGATACATTGTTGTTGCTGCTGCTGTTGTTAACCCACACACAGTACATACACTTTATTTGGGATCTGTTTTAAGTTTTGTCTTTCTGGTTAAGTCCTTTTTCTATATGCAAGCACTTGTTTGGCACTTTGATCTGATTCTGGGATTAGACTGTTTCAACTGAAGCTGGCTAAAATGCATTTTGGCGGGGAGGCAGAGGCTATGTCACTGAAACTGTATAGGTTTTTTAGCCTTTGACTTATTCCTTTGGAAGGTACTGTTTTCTGGAAATTGTCTGAGGAAGCTTTTGGCCTGGCTCTTCTGAGACCAAGCTATTTTGCTTGTTTGTTTAGCATTGGCTGGTATTGCAAGTATTTGAATTGAACTGTAAGCTGTTCAAGTTGTTTGAAAATTGTTCTCTTGATCTTGGCAGGACAGTAGTAAGTGGTCTTAAAGTTGGATCTTCGTTCCCTGCCCAGGAATTGAACCTGTGTAGTCTAGAGGAAAACCAGGAAACCTAGCCCAAGACCAGCAGGGACTAGAGGCTAGGAGCAAAGTTACCCTGGCTCTTGCCCTTGTTTGAAAGCAAGACTGTTTCAAGAGGGCAAAACCAGGTAGAAACTTTATTACTAGACACATAGTACAACATGTGGGAAAGCAGAGAAACAGTTTATTTAGACAGAAGCAAAATGGGAACACTCACCTGGAGAGAAAGGGTGTGGGTGTCTTTCCTAGTGAAGAGGAGCTCCATAAAATAGAAATTAAATCAATTAAAAAGGGGCAGTTCCTCTGGGTGTTTGTTCTCCTCTGACCAATTATATTGTTTCTTTCCTACATCTGACCTGACTTAGGGTCCTACCTGATCTGTGTGTGCATAATTTTGCCAAGATGGATTCCAATGCAGAGGCTTATGGGAGTTTTGACAACACCTACTATGGGAAAGGAAATGGCAACCCACTCCAGTATTCTTGCCTGGAGAATCCAATGGACAGAGGAGCCTGGTGGGCCACAGTCCATGGGGTCGCAAAGAGTCGGGGATGACTGAGCGACTTCACTTCTCTTCACTTCACTATGGGAAAGCACCCCTTCCCTTTTTGACCCTTGAGGAGTCTTCCTGCGCATGTGCAGTCAGAGAGGTTTTCTTGACCTCAAGAGTAATAGTTGTGATCATCTTCTCTATTCCAGCAGAGCTCAGCTTCTGCCATTAACTTTGTCCTTGGCATGTCTAGGGAAGATTAAATTCCAATTTACTTCACTTGACAAACCCCAGCTGCTCAGGCCCGGGGCCCATCTCCCTCCCACCTCATTTTCACTCTAAAGAAAAATATCCAAGAAATAATATCACAGTTACCTAAGTATTTTGAGAGTGTCCCCTCTCCCCAGGACTCTGGCCAATTTTATATTTAAAAATAATGGCTCTCTTCTTGCACATTTATAACTGAATGGATCAACCTGACCAATGACAATTAAAAATATCATTGACCATTATGGGGAATTTTTGAAATCTCCAAACAATTTTCTTAAAACCGAATTGTACTACAGTTGCTTAAATATTTCCAGGGACTTCCCTGGTGGTTCAGTGGTTGGAATCTGCCTTGCAGTGAAGGGTACTCGGGTTTGATCCCTGGTTGGGGAAATAAGGTCCTACACGCCACATGGCAACTAAGCCTGCACCACAATGAAAGATCCCTCATGCATGCCACAACTAAGACTGGATGAAGCCAGGTAAATAAAAAAAAAAAATTTCAGAACTGAGTGAACACTTATTTCAGTTGGTACATTAAGGCTTCCCAATACTATCGAGAGTCTTAAAGTGTCTCTCCACTAATTAAGATTTTAAGATTAACTGAGATAAACAATTTAAAAAAGACAAAAAGTCTCCCAAATCCTCATGCGCTTCTCCCTTTGTTCCTCTTTCAGTACCAGCTTGTCTCTTTCCGCATCTCCCCCTGGCCAGACTCTAGCTCTGATGCCATCGCCCCCTTCCTTCTATACCACCCACACCCCCTCTATACCGTCAACTCCCCCATGCTAACTCTCACCCAACTTCCCCCTTTCTCTGAAACTCTCCACAGTTGCTTTTCCTTTGAACTTGTTGGGATCTGTTTCTTTAAATAAGCCTTCTGAGGATCCAGAGAGCAAACCTTTAATTTCTTATATTTCCTGGATTAAATTTGAACTGCAAGTCTTTGTCAAAGATTTTCCCAAAGTAACCAAAGATCCTCACAGGTTTGCTAAGGAATTTAACATTGTCTTTCAAACTTACCCAACTGGTTTCTCTGACTTATATTAGCTAGTTCATATGATTGTTGGTGAACAACAGGCTCAGCATTGCATAAAACCTGCTAATAGGGAAATCTTGAAAGATCTCTAGAATGACAATTGGGAGATCAGCCCACTAACTTATTACATGCTCAGACTCGAGCAATCTAGGTGACTTCATCAAGCAATTTCTAGAGTTTCCCCCAAACTTGTTGGTTGGAACAATATTCAGACTTGCACACAAAATCCTGATGAACCTGTTCATGACTATTACATCCAACTTCAGGTTGATTTTAAAGAAAATTCTGGCCTTCCTTTAGATGTTGATTCCACCTGGGTAGTTTTTGAATGCTATGTTTATTAATGGGTTGAACTGGGACCTTTCCTTTACAGTGAAAAATGACCAGGATGAAGTAGGAGACTAGGTCTATTCTGGAGTTAGTTTATCTGGCAAACCAGTTCTCTCATACTCTGGTTGAATCACCTGAAAGGAAGACTGTCAAAATTCTTAATCTTCAGCTCCAGGAAATGAAGACTCCTAAATAAAACAAAAACCCTCCCAGTTTCTATTATTGCAAAAATCCAGGACATTGGAAATAGGTTATTATAAATTTAAGTGTTTCATGTGCTTTCAGCCTTCTCAACAGCCTTTCCAATGTCCTCCTGGTTCTCAATGATGAGGTTTTAAGGAATTGCATCCTGTGGAAATAAAATTAAATATGGCCCCTATATTCAGTAATTATTGAATTGCGATACTTTTACCTGCAACTTTAGCTATTATTAAGATTCCAAGGCATTCTAAACTTCACTCTGTTAGCTGAAGAAAATCACCCTGCTAATATTTCCACAAGGAATGCTGCCCTTAAAGGTAAGCATTAATGCTGCCCTTAAGGTAAAAGCAGCCAAACCTCTGTCACAGCTAAAGGGATAGGTTCCCAAAGGATAACGCAGGAAAGAATGGCTAGAGAAGCCCATCAGTTGGCCTCAGTAAAGGAAATACAAGGTTGTAAATTTAACAGTTGTTAAGTTTGTTAAAAAGAGAAAGCTCTGGTTTGACCAAACAACAAACTGCATACTGGGAACTCTAAAATTTCCACTCCTCACAACTCTACATACAATAAACTACTGATCTACTGTCGAAATGACAAACTTCATGAATCAATATTAGTGAAGAAGAAAGTGCTTCCTTCTTCATAGCCAAACTGTGCTCACCTTCTGTTGCTTTTTCCTCTGAAGAACATTTTACTTGGCTTCAGTGGCAGGAACTACATCATTCTCAATTACCTTGACCAAAACCTGTTTTTTTCTGGTACCCATCTTTTCAAGAACAAAATTAATGCTGTATTTTTTACTATTCAAACTAAAATTTATGTCATGGACTCACCCAATTTTCCAATTATATTATGCCATATTAATTTACGGCTCCCACGTGGCTCAGATGGTAGAGAACCTGCCCAGCTGGCTCTAGTGGTAAAGAGCCCACCTGCCAATGCAGGTTTTTATTTGCCCTTATTTGAGAATGAGATGTATTCAAAATTTCTCACACAATGTAATAGTCACGATATTTTATGGAATAAATTATGCACAACTACTATGTGTCATTACTTTATTACAAATACAATTTTTGAGACCCATATAACCCCCTTCTTACTCTTGTTGACAAAGCTCTGTTTCTAGAGTGAAATTTTCCTGGCAGGAAGGAGACCTGGTTATTGTCCAGCTGTCACTAAACTAAGTGATATTTGCCAAGTGAGCCTCCGTGATCCTTAGAGTTAATCCATGAAAAGACGGACAGGAACTGCAGAGTATACACAGTTCTAATTCTAAAATGCTGGTATAAGTGTATAGATTCATTAGCTCGTCAATACTTTTGCATTTTCAAGGCAGGTAATACTGGATAGTGAAGAAAAACAAGACCCACAAAAGTTGAAGTAAAACAACACCTCATTTAATTTTGCTTCAGCTACTTACACAGTATATGCTTTTGGACATGTTATTTATCTTCAATAGATCTTTTTACTCAAAAAAATGTAAACACTGTCATCATCATACCGTTTTTAAGAACAATAAACTGATGTGTGAAGACATGAAACCTAATATCCATTATTTAATTGACACTCAGTGATGTTATATAGCTCTATCTCTCTGCACCCTGTCTTCCTACTTCCACCATAACCATCTCTGTTTCTTATTTTTTCTCTGTCTTGGCAGATGAGCATACCTTACACAGGGGAGAACTATATCACAATAATGAAAGGTCTGATTGTCATGGATTCGCAGTTTTGGATCGTAATCCAAACCCCAGAATATTATTAGGGTAATGATAAGAATTTTAAGAAGAAACATATAAAAGTGTTTATTTTAAAACTGTCACTTTGCAGTAGCTAGATGATATGTGAGGTCCTGGAAAGGCAGTTTTTAGTAACTGTCATAATTATATTCAATATACCTATAACATAGTAGGTTCTCAATCATTCCTATTGAATGAATCATTAAATATATTTAGTTCTTATATGACTTTGGTTCATTTAGGCTTCATGTATAGAATAACCCCTAATCATACCTGTGATTTTGTTTATTCCCGAAATGAGTTTTGCTGTAGTCAGGAGTGCTTTTTCCCTTAAGCTGAAGTTACTTGTGAAAACATTCCGATCCCGATGTGTGAGTAGCCTATGTGGGAAACCCACTAGGAATTCTGATGAACTTTCAAAGTATGGGCAATATAATACTGCCTCACAAAATTCCATGGCCAGTAGAAAATCCATGGAGAAGTTTCATTCAGCTTCAGAAGAATATAATGATCTAAAGGAAGGACACAAAATTAGCAGCAAGAGCTACAAAATATTTCATTTTACATGCAAATTAAAATCTAAATGTGTCTTTTCTCCCAGCTCTTCCTCACGAATTTTATGCTATTAAATAGCTGATTGACCCGAACCTATAGTTTCAGTGTAATGTAATTAATCCTCTCACTATCTTCTACATTGGGCCTGGCTGAAGAATCTCTTACACAGCAACAGAGATGACAAAGGTTTGAATCACAATTTTTAAAGGTTGTAGCATCCTAACCAACCCCTCTCTTACTTCTACTAGATTTACTCTTTTTGATTTCTCATTGTATTTGTCCTATATCTAATTTCTATGCCACAAATGTCTAACATCACTTGTTTTCCACAAACACAGTTCAGGGACTGGGTACTATGAGCCAGTAAAATGAATAGAAGGTTATCAAATAGCAATTTCTGAAAATTGCTCACCAATGTACATAATTGACTCATGTTTATTGTGTACATGTTTCTATAATTGCTTTTAATTTAAAGGAAATAAGAAGTGGACTAGAAATTTGCCATCACATTCAAATCACCTTCTTGAGTAGGACACAAGAGAGCCCAAGGCCAAGGGACAAACAACAGATGATGAAGGTTTCTCTTGAGTTCGTCTAATTTCAAAACTTAAATGACAAGATCAATTCTTCCTTGGAGAGAACAACTCTAAAAACTGAATAAAATATTTAAAGCATGTTCTATGATGCCAGAGTGGACAATTTTTAGAAACTGTGAGATCAAAATTTAAGAAAAAAGGTATGAAAATTTGCATTTTTACCAAAAAAATGAAAATTTACATGTTGAAGTTCATACCAGAGAGGAAGAGGGAGCAGAGTGCAGATTTTCTCTCTCTCCTCTTCTCTATGTGCGGACACAGATGGCATGGTGGAAGAAGGCAGCCATGTGCAAGCCAGAAAGAAGGCCCTCACCAGAAGTTGACCACGCTGGCACCCTAATTCTGAGCTTACAGTCTCCAGAATTGTGAGAAAATAAACTTCTGTGATGAAAGCCACTCAGTCTATAGTATTTGATCATGGCAGCCCGAGTTCACTAACAAGAAGGGAAGACATATGGTGAGTATGATATATGAGGACCTTTTTCCACTCAAGGTAATAGATGATTTTGAAAAGTATTGCTCTAATGTTGACATGATGAGAAGAATCTTTGATAAAACTATGGAGCTGAGAGAAGAAACATTGTAGTTAATGACTATTAATAAATAGGACTCTAAACACACACACACACAAACATACAACAAAATACCAAGCAATTGAAGATCAATGGGTAGGTTAAAAAAAAATTAAAAACAGAAAGACTTAAATAGTAAAGGGGAAAAAATTTAGAAATTGATTTACACTGAAAATTTTCCACTTTAAGAAGACATCATTAAATGAGTGAACTGACAAGCACAAACTAAGAAAAGATACACTCAAGATACATAACTGATACATGACTCCTGGATGAAATGAAAGTAAAGATGGAAAAACCATTTCCAGGGAGTCTGGAAAATATGAGCAATGAATATTTGAGGAAACCAAAACTTTTTTTCTGGTATGCTATGTGGGTTCCATGAAAACAGGAACCATGTTTATTTTTTTACCACAATAGTTCCCAGAATCTAGTACAGTGGTTATTAGTATATGAGTAGGAGGATAATAAACATTTATTAATTGACTGATGGGTTACAACTTGGTATTTTCACAAGTCATGATCATAGAAGAGTTGAATGTATGCTAATGGTCTTGATGAGCTTCAGGAATTAAGAAACATTTTACCTTTGAAAAATTTTAAATATGCATAGAAGTTGAAGGGATAGGACAATAATATAACCTCCCCCTAGACCCATCAACTTTTGAATTTTACCACAAGTACTTTTATTTGCTTTGCTGAAAGTAAGTTAAGACAATATGACACTCCTTCCCTGGATACGTAAGCATTCATCTCCTAGGAAAAAGGGTATTTTTACACTCTTAGGTATGCCTTTGCCAACCCAAGATGAAAAGTTCAGTAATATCTAATTTGATAGATTTGTATGCAATAATTGCCCCAATTGTCCCAATATGTCTTTTAGAACTTTTTTCCTCAACCAAGATCTAAGTTTATTTAGTTATGTCTCTCCTCTTTTAATTTAATCAGAAATAATCTTTTCTGCCTTTATTTTCCCCCTTCATGAGACTGAACTTATTTCAAATATCCAAGTCAGTGTATAATGTCCTAAATCTTGAATTTTTTCTGGTTGTTTTCTTAGTAGATTCAGATTACTCTTTCTAATTGTGTTGGGTATCTCTTAGTGCATTGGTAGGGCTGCACAATGTCAAGTTGCCCCCTGCTGGTGATCACTAAGATGATCACTTAAGATGGTGACCGTCAGATCTTTTCATTTAAAACTACATTTTTTTCCCTTTTGTAAATGAATAATCTGTGGGATGATACTGCAAAGCTTTTCAAACACCTTTTCATTAAAGTATTCATTGAACACATATGTTTAAGTCCCTACTAAGTGTTCTAAATAGTCCTTTGATGCTTGAGAAATCATGCAATCCTTAATTCCTTTGAGAATCCTTGCTTGCTGAAATTCTTTTGCTTATTCTTGCCATCTGACATTTATTTTCTTGATTTCCCTTTGGTTCCCATTCAGAGTGAAGTTTGGCACTTGAACTTCAAGTTAATATCACTGGGGCATAGATGAATAAACAGTGGAATTAAAGTTAGAAGACTTGGATTCAAATCTTGGGTTTGGTGCTTAATGGCTTTATGATCTCTGAACTCATTTCCTTCTCTGTAAAGTGGAAGAAATAACAGCAAACCGAGCTACAGTAATAATAAATGTGTAGGTGCACAGTGAAGGTTTGTGCCACTCTTTGTCCGACTCTTTGCGACCCCATGGACTACCCAGTCCATGGAATTCTCCAGGCCAGAACACTGGTGTGGGTTGCCTTTCCCTTCTCCAGCAGATCTTCCCAACCCAGGGATCGAACCCAGGTCTCCCACATTGAGGGCGGATTCTTTCCCAACTGAGCTATGAGGGAAGCCCATTCTTTTTAGCACTGAGATCTATTTGGATACAGGAGGAGTGAAAACTATTTTATTATCTGTAGTTATGGTGAACACAGGAAAGGTCATCAGCAGTTCACATCAAGTCACCTACCTCCTACAAACCACCTCACCTCCCCCCAAAAAAACTACAACTTTAAAGCTTTCTTAAGTTTCAATGCTTAAAGGAGAAAGTGTATTCACTGTAAGATCATTACGTTTCGGCCACACATGAAGCCCAGGATCGGGAAATTGTATGGAGGGCACAAAGTGATGGCGAATATAATTACACTGTACAAAAGTGGGCTGAGGCCCAGGGAATGGCCAAGATAAGCTCTCAGGATGATTTTTGAAGGATAAAATTTGGCTGTGCTGTAACAGTCCTGTGGAGCCAATTCATACAACTGCTGAAATACCTAAGTCTTCAGTTAGTTTATACCTCTCAGCCTCAAGGCCTCAGTCTTCAATCAGTTTCAGCCAGGCCAGTTGCCTGCTTCAGCCAGTCTAGCCTCCTGGAACAACTCCAAGGGTGCACCATTCACATCCAACAGAAATGCCGTCCCTTCCCACCCTCCACCTCCCTGTTACGCTAGCCTTGAAGATAATGTCAGTGGAGTGCACGATTTCCAGAATGCTTTTGGCTCTAGCAGCTTGAAATTCTTCCTAAACTCCATGAGACAGAGTTCTGTTCTCTTCGAAATGTTTTCCTTCTTTCTCAAATAAACCAGTGATGAGGGATTAAGTAAGGATATCTTTGGCTGTTTCTAGAGCACCCTGGGGATATCAGTATATCAATTGTTAAGACAAAGGGACCTGAGTAATTAAAAATTCTAATTTTCATTTTCTTTTCAAGAACTTAAACCATTTTATTATTGTGGAGGCTGACATCTGGCCACACAGCATCCCTGGTCATATGTTACTCTACAAATATCCACGAGATGGTGCTAGTCACACACAATACTCTGAGAATGTTTCCGGTTCAGTCAGTTCAGTCACTCAGTCATGTCTGACTGCGATCCCACGGACTGCAGCATGCCAGACTTCCCGGTTCATCACCAACTCCCAGAGCTTGCTTAAGCTCATGTCCTTTGAGTAGGTGATGTCATCCAACAATCTCATCCTCTGTCGTCCCCTTCTCCTCCTGCCCCCAATCCCTCCCAGCATCAGGGACTTTTCCAATGAGTCAACTCTTCCCATGAGGTGGCCAAAGTATCGGAGTTTCAGCTTCAGCATCAGTCATTCCAATGAACCAGGATTGACTGGTTTGATCTTCTTACAATCCAAGGGACTCTCAAGACTCTTCTCCAACACCACAGCTCAAAAGTATCAATTCTTCAGCGCTCAGCTTTCTTTACAGTCCAACTCTCACATCCATACATGACTACTGGAAAAACCATAGCTTTGACTAGATGCACCTTTGTTGGCAAAGTAATGTCTCTGCTTTTAAATATGCTGTCTAGGTTGATCATAGCTTTCCTTCCAAGGAGCAAGCGTCTTTTAATTTCATGGCTGCAATCACCATCTGCAGTGATTGTGGAGCCCCCCAAAATAAAGTCTGTCACTGTTTCCATTGTTTCCCCATCTATTTGCCATGAAGGGATGGGACCAGATGCCGTGATCTTTGTTTTCTGAATGTTGAGTTTTAAGCCAACTTTTTCACTTTCCTCTTTCACTTTCATCAAGAGGCTCTTTAGTTCTTCACTTTCTGTCATAAGGGTGGTGTCATCTGCATATCTGAGGTTATTGATATTTCTCCCAGCAATCTTGATTCCGGCTTGTGCTTCATCCAGCCTGGCATTTCACATGATGTACTCTGCATATAAGGTAAATAATTTATATAAGCAGGGTGACAATATACAGCCTTGACATACTCCTTTCCTGATTTGGAAGCAGTCTGTTGTTCTATGTCCAGTTCTAACTTTTGCTTCTTGGCCTGCA